GAAGAAGAAGAAGAAGAAGAAGAAGAAGAAGAAGGGATCACTGGAACAAGAGTTTTATTGTCCTGACATAATGTGAAACGTCAGGACAATAAAACTCTTGTTGCAGTGGTCGCTTCTTCTTCTGAACCGCCTCCAGGAACTCGCATGTTCAATTCTATTTGTTTCTGTCGCTGTCGCATTTCTTCAACGATAAACTTTTATCACCAGATACGCGTTTACCGATCAAGTTTTGGGACATGTTCTCGGGGTTGCGCCTTAGGGTGCAGTCTTAAACCCTCGGAAGCAGTCGCACAGCGACTTACGATATACGGTGATTAGGCGGAACCGACAAAGACTAGAGAGACCGGAATGGCCATTTCTAGCTTATTAGTAGTCATCAGCCAGTCATTCCCAATCCCTGGTGTGAATCATCAGAGATTCGAACCCGCGATCCTTTGGTACTTGAGTGCAACGTTACCGTTGAGCCACAGGTCCGTTGTTCTGTCGGTTAGTATCGGGAATATGATCGTAGTCTGGGGGCTCACCAATCTGGTTACGGAACATGTCCCATTGTGCCTTGGGGCTCGCGTTAAAGTCCTCGCAGGCAGTTACATGGTGACTATGAGTATACGATGATGAGGTGGAACAGACGAATTCAAGGGAAACTGGAACGATCATTTCTGGCTTAGTAGCCGTCGTCAGCCAGCCATACCCAGGCCCAGGTTTTGGTAACCTGGTATTCAAATCCGAATTATTTGGTCCAGTGCTGTACCGTTCACCTACGGGCTCGTTTTTATGTCGCTACTCGGGGCTGCTTGTTTGAACCACAAGGCAGGACGACCATGTCTTGCAACCTGATCGGTGAACACACCCCCCCGACCACAACTCACAGGAAAACATGCCGGTGTATCAGTGGTAAAGTAATGGACTTAAAATCTCTCATTAAGCAAAGAATCCGGATTCGAGCCCCAAGGTATCCAAACCTGGGGTTGCATGTGGCTAGCTGATGACGACTGATAAGAAAAAATTGAAACTGAATTCACCTTTTCCATAGAATGTGGCATAGTGTTATGTACATAATTAAGTCATTTGCTTTAAACCCTTGCTCTTAACATTGTGCCTTCTTTCCTCCCCCCTCACATTAGCAGTTTACGTGAACTTCCACCTTTTTTATCTAATAAAAAGGTTTTAGATATCTATTTTTCAGAGTTTTTTACTTGACAACTCATTTCAGGGGCAGTTAATAGTCATTTTTGCTTTTGAGATATGGCTTTCACTATTCACTCACAGCATTCTCTTTTGTACACCGAATTTTCTGATTCGATTATAGGTGCCAATTTGTTAACTTATCTGTAATGCGGTATGGGTTAAATCCACGGTTTACGGCCAGTTAATGAGTGGGTCCGAACGCACATTGCCATTCCAGGCAGCCGTGTCAGTGATATCCGTATCAACAATCTTGGTGTATGAAAAGTGGTGGACTGGCCTGTCACCACACTCTGCATAGCAAGTGGTACTGGGTGATTACTGTGGACCGTCAGTGCATGCCTTTATTTACGAGCAGTATGCCAAAAGTTGAAAAGTTGTGATAGGATAGCATTTGGTCATTTGCAGCCACCCCGCCTTGGTAAAACAGAAAGTAAACTGCTCGGGACACTCTTTCGGTACGCAGTTCACCAATTTCTTTTCTCAACACCGGGACACTTAACTGTTTCTCACAAAAGCTGGTCTCCTTTATTATCCCTCGACTTAAAAATCCTATCTTCAGAATAATAATGCTGGCGGTGGTCGTGGTGATGATGATACTGACGATAATGATGTGATTGCTGGAACAAGAAATTCGCCTGACGTTTCGACCTCACGTTTTGACCCATCATCAGGGACAGTCGCGGGTAACGGACGGGCCGACAATCATCGCACCAAGTACAGCAGCTGCTAATTACGATAGACGCCTCCGTCCTATAAATACCATATCTCCTGCGCGTTCATCATTGTTGTCGTTGAATGTCTTCAATTATGGATTCGATTTAGAATCTGGGACTTCAGGCGGGTCCACTTTTTGTTCCAGCAATCACTTCTTCTGGGCTGCCTCCTGGAACTCTTCGCCCCTTGGCTGCCCTGGGCAACCTAATCTTACCCAAATGTAAACTTACCCTTTTGACGGCTGATCAGTGTCTCTGAGGGTTGTTGGTTTTTTTCCACGTCACAGTGAAATCAAGAGATGGCACATTTCGTCACGTAATATACTTCTTCGAAAAATGCTGTTTTTGCTGCTTTTCACCAGACTACGTGAACACGAAAAGTTCTTCGGAACTAGCGCTTCGGACAATTTGAAACAAACGAAGAAGTTGACGCCCGTTCTCTATTTTCTTAAACCCTTTATCCTTTTTTTCCATCAGGTATGT